TATATATATATATATATATTCAAACTCAGCACCTCGGTTGCCACAGGCATGTGATGTACCATTGAGCTACATCCCCTGTCCCCAACCTGGAGATGCTGCAGCGCCTGACTAAAGCCCTTCTAAGCTTCACCATATGAAAGCAGAGCCCAAAGACAAGGCAGCAGGAAAGCCCAGCTGAATAGTAAATCACACACAAGAAACCGCTGGCAAGGTGGTCCATGCCTGCAATCCTAATAACAGGGAGGCTGGTGTAGGACGACTGCCTTGAGTTCAAGGGCAGCCTGCAACACCTACCCAGACTCTGTCTCAAAAAGCAAAATGAACAAAATTGGTGTTATCTGTCTTTCATAAAGTCCAGTGAAGAAACAGCTTCTGGCTTCCGCAGAGTAAGACAAACTCTTCCTGCTGCTCTGTGGACTGTAAGTTGCATGTTATGGCAGACAACAATGGTAAAATTATGTACTGTGGTTTGTATTTTATTATTTTTCCTCAGATAGTCTTGGTAGGGATAAAGATGCCAAGGGTGATCACTTTCCCAGGGAAATGGGAGTAACATTTTGGGTGGCTGACACCATGACTAATTCAGAAGGATAAAATCTGACCTAATGACACCTTGAGTGATGTCATCTGGCCAGGCACTAAGCTCGATGCCAGAAATAGGAAAAATGACCCCATTCCACATCTTTATCTTTTAACAAAATACTATTTGTAAGTCTGTATGAGACATTGGATACACATATGATGGTAAGTAGAGAGTCCGCAAATTGTACCTTTGAATGATAAAGTGCACTCTAGGCAGAAATAAACGTCAGATGTCACCCCTCCTTTTTGTATTCATAAATGAGACCCTAGCTTGGGTGTGGAATTGGCTGCTGACCAGGAGGGATTATGTAGGACAGGGGGCACACTTAGCCATTCTATACATACTTTTAAGGAAGGAAACTATACACAGAACCTGCTAAACACTGACCATGCTCAAGACTTGAAAAACCCACACTCCTCCAACAAATAATTATCTGATCCCAAATGCCAAGATTGGGAAGAGCTAGAAGCCTCTGCATTCGCTCCACTCAGCCCTTGTGACCTGCTATCCCATACCTCGCTGGTGTAGGCTCTAGAGAGCTCTGTGGCTTTAGAGATCTGAAGACTGTGTACAATCAACTAGGATAAAAGAAAGAGACACAACAATCACCATTTTGATTTTTTTTTTTAAAAAAAGAAAAGTTTATTAGGATATTCTGGGGTAGAGATGGCCAAAGGGACTACATATACTCTGTAGTGTTTGAGCACTAGGCTCACAGAAAATTCAAACATCACAAAACCACTTCCAAAGTCCAAATAGCAAAACTTGTACTTCTACACGGAGATGTTCTTCCATGAACGTCGGCAAGAAAGTATGTTGCGGACAGCTGTGTGAGGAAGAGGTATGGGCATAACTCTCTGAAAACACGATCATCCTTGGGAAACCAGAAACACAGACATGAGGAAAAGGGATCATTCCTCCTCAGGCAGAAGACTCCAGAACACCGCTGAGCATGGAGATCCGGGAAATCTGCCTCTCCCAGCGCAAGCTCCACAGCAAAGCTCGCTTTGCCCTCTCAGCTACAGCTCTGAATTGCTTGGGTGTCTGGACCTCTCGCCCAGGGCAGAATTCTAAAAATATCCCCCAATTCAGAAGACTTCTTTTATTTCACCTGTATTGTTAACCTCACGAAATAGAAAGGCAGCTGAGACACACCCTCGGGTTAAGAGTAAAAAAGTACACCATCCAGAAGTACAAGAAAAAAATCTTCCATCCTAAATCTCACACAGCTTCTCAGTGGGAGTTGGATTAAAGAGAAAATAATTTCAATATCAAGGGATAATACACACAAGATGGGAAACTCTTTCAAGTAGGCTCCATGGTGAGAAGTGTTTCCCGCTCCCTTGGGTGAGGGAAGGGAGAAGAAGAGAAAAAACATAATTAGGAGAACTGTAAGGCCCTGGATTTCAGGTTTCTGAAACCATTTCTTCAATCCTCTGAGGACAATCAGCGATTTCTGATTCCAAAAAAGCACATCAGAAGTGCCTGATTACAGAAAGACCACAGCCAAATAAAAGAGAGCAGTCTGTGATCTGGTTCTGGGATCTCCATTCTCTTCCCACCCCCACCTCACATTTCAGAAATGCCTTTGCCAAAGTGAAATGATCAAAGCCCCAATTCCAGACCAAGCACACTTTGTACCCCAGGAAGATAATGCTGGATCATACAGCCCTGTGGGAGGGGGTGGGGAGAGAACTCAGAAGGAAAGGGAGGGAGGGAAGGAGGAAGGGAGAGGTGGGAGGGAGGGAGGAGAGGAACTGAGTGGGAACAGAGAGAGGAAAAGTAGGTCTTTGCTGATTGAGGTTCATATGCCAGTGTGCTGGAAGGCCCAGTACTTTCACGCATCCCATACTAATCACCTACCTTGACCCAGCCCTGGTACCAACCTTTACTGACTTCTAAAGGCCTTAGGGGTTTGTATGCTGAGCCACTCCTGGATTCTAGTTCTCCATCCTTCCTCACTTGAGCATCAAGCATTGTGATCTGCGCTACGTCTGGTGAGCACCAGGTGTCACTGCCTAGTCCAAATCTTGCTCTCTTGAACAAACCCTATGGGTTGTGCTCGCCTCAGCTACAAGGGTTCCAGGGTCTCAGTCCCAACTGCACCAAGGCTGAGACTCGACACTGGAACAGCTCCACTGCTCACCTGCAGGCCAAGCTCACAGCCCTCTAAGGTCCCTGGGAGTGAGGGGTGCCTCTGCTCCTCACTGGGATGCTGCAGTAGAGGCTTAGGACCAGGCTGAGAGGAAGTGGGTCTGCCTTCTCTATCATGGCTGAACTGGGTTTGCTCTCCTACTCACGGGGACAGAAACTTAACTCCAGCCCAGGTCAGAAAAACAGATTCATAGGCTTTTTATATAAAAAAGGATGCTAAGCTAAAGGATTTTGCCAACTTGGAAAGATAAGTATTTCTTAATTTGGGGAAAACTGGGGTCCAAGGACTCAATGGTCTCACATTACTCATGGGAAAGCTTCAGCTCTAAATGATGGGTCATCCAGCCAGAGGACAGCACTTGACTTTTTTGTCAGGACATTAATGGAGAAACTGTCATCCCTGGGAGTGATCTGGGACTTGAGAAGTGGTCCAGCTTTCTTGCCTATTTCCTGTGCTCCAGGCAGATTAAAATCTCCGCAGACTCATTTGATCTGGCAAATGCAGAAAGCTGCTGAGGCTGGCTGGCTGGTCATACTCAGGTCCTCAGGGACAAGTACTGGCTTTTTGTCTCTCAGCCGGAAACACAGTGAGCACATTTAAAGTTGCCACAATCTGAACACCCCTTGGACCTTTACCCCCTAGCTCATCCTCTGTATCTCAGGAGGACAAATTCAGTGTCCATGAAGCTCACTGACAGCACAGCTATACAAGTAGACCCAACTTCCTCCCTGTGTGACAGAATGATGTCTTTCGATGTGTTAATTTTTCATGCAAGTAGCATTTTTCAAATGTCTGCTATGATCGTGCTGTCTGCTAGGGAAGGCTGATGGGCAGAAAGCAATGTCAGGACCCAAGAGGAAGCTGACAATGTCTGGGCAGCCTCCTGGTGCTCTCCACAACACAAAAAATTGGGACTGGTAAGAAAGCCCAGCCTGTAAGTAATAGAAGGAAATCAGAGAAAACCTTCCATTGATGCCGAGTGCTGGACTTGGCAACTGCCCTCAAGCAAAAATAAACTCCCCGTGGCAGTGGGACAAGATGCTGATACTGGCACCTGCCAGAGGCAAACAGCCGAAGTCGCAGCTGTGCCGGTCAAATGAGTTTGGAGACCTTAGGGGGTTGAGGCCTCAGTGACTATTAACAGGCTGCAGGGCTGTGCAGTCAGTTTACTGAAATCTGGTTTGTGTGCCTTCCCTGCCTCTCTGGGCTGGGTCTCAGAGCCATCAGAAGTGCAGGTGGCTCACGCTGCTGAGCTACCACCCAGGCTCATCTGAGAAGTGTCACAGGGAGTGACCAAGAGATTCCTGAGGAGGGTGCAGCAGGCCTAGCAGCCCAAAGCGAAGAAGAAAGAGCACAGGGGAGGGCTGACCTTCTGCTGCCTGGAGGATTAGTGACGTCTTTAGGTTATTTGGCTCTTGGGACTTCTTCTGCAACAAAGTGGGCATCTGAAGGAACAAGAATGACCTTGGCCAGCGCTAAGCTTACAGCAATTGGGGTAAAGGATGGACAGGAAGGGATCCTGCTAAATACTTGGCAGTAAAGAAAAAGGGTGAAGGTAGAGACTCAGTAACCAACAGCAAAAGGAACTGAACCGGTCACACCGCAAGACAGACGTCCTGGAGGAAAAAAACATGCTACGGAATACATACTGGGATGTGCAAAGCCCACAGATTTAAGGCCCCTGCAGTGAAAATATTAATCAAAGGTATAATTCTCACAAAGAATCCTAGACAAAACCTTCAAACAAATGGTCACTCAAGAAGAAAAGCTGTGTCAGAGTCAAGAGGTGTCAGATACATACACAGGATTTCTGTCTCAGGATAAGACAAAAATGTAGCTTCTAAGGGTGTTCAACCAAATCCCCAGCCGTTTTATTTCAGAATTTCTAAAAGGAAACCTTTTTCCCATCCAGAAATCACCCATGGCTCTGGCCTCCTTGCTGGAAAGAAACCACTGCCTATTTCAAGGAACTCAATGCTTTGCTAGCTGAAGGCTCCTATCCTGCTCACTAGGAGCAGGAGAAGACTGCAGGACCCTGTGGCCTGTGGCTCAAGGCCTCTTGTTACACCATGATTCGGCTTTGTTACACCAAACTCTCCCAGCTCAGCACAGATGGCCTTCTGCTGTCATGGTCCTTGGCCAACAGTAACTTACTCCCATCTGCTGCCACTGCCTCTCGTCTTTCTTGCAAACATGGGCTTCCCACGGGCTCATTTGCTTCAGCAAAGAGGAGAAGCAAAGGCCACAGAGCCTGTGGCAGCATGAAGCCACGAGATCTAAACAGCACTGAAAGAGAATCAGAAAACAGGAATCATTCGAGCAGCCCTTTTCTGGCCTCCAGGATGGACTCAAATAAGTCATGTGTGTCTAACTACATGAATGAAAACTTATTTTCCAAAAGATAGCTCCTCTGAGGCCACTATTTTGTAAATAATAACTGAAATACATTCATGCTGGATTCTAAGAATTTGCTAATTATATAAACTCCCACGGCGCTTACATCCCTGTTCTCAAGCACTTTACACTGACTTAAAAATGCTTCCGTTCTCCCACTTTCCTAGTTCACCAGATGGAGTGTCTGGGAGTGTCTGATTGAAAGACAAAAAGGTACGTAGGAGATGGGATGCAGTGCGGGAGATCCAGCCTTGGAGCCTGTGCAAGACAGAAATGGTCTCAATACAGAAGAAATCCAAAGCCACAGCAGCCCTGGAGAAGCCCTGACTAGTACTGGATGAACCCGAAGCCATCACTGGAACTTGAAGCCAAGATATTTTTTACTAGAAGATACGTACTTGTTCTAAAAAAAATAAAATAGAAACCACACTCTTAACGCTCTGGATATAGTTTGCTATGATACTTAAAAAAAATAACCTATGTTAAGTTTTAATATCTATTTTCTTAGGGGCCTGAAAAAAATGACATATGGAAAAATAAATATTCAGCTGACATTCAGAATCCCCGCTCCACGTTGTGCAATCCTTCCGTCATGTGCTCTACTCAAAAGATGCTCAAATATACATTGGTCAGAGATAGTCAACATCAAAGTGAAATGAATGTGCTTCTACTCATTGAGGCAATATTGTCCTGTTACTCTCTCTCTCTCTCTCTCTCTCTCTCTCTCTGAAATAAGTAGGATCTGGGTGGATCTGATCCGAAGGTTATGGTCTCCATTGATATAAGTGTCTGTGTTTTGTTGTCCAAATCAAGCACCATAAGGCCCTTCCTATAAGAGACTTGACCTCATCAGTAGCCCCTGTACTTATGACACCTGAAAGGTGGGGACTGAAGGACAGGATGTAATCACTTTTTGCATGTAAGCACCCCAGGGGGAAGTTAGATAGGTAAAATATTTCAATAATTTCTCTCTTCCAGTCCTGAGGAAAATGATGATGTTTTAGGATCACCAGGGTAAACTGAGCTCAAACAAAATGACAGGACCACTAGTTTGGGTTAATTTTGTAACATTTTCTTTAGCAAGTTGTTCCTCAACAAGCTATTTCTCATGTTTATGTCATCAGTCCCTCATTTTCAGTCTGAGGATTTGGTAACTCAAATATGCTTTTATGTATGAAAAAAAATGAGACCTTTGTTGGGGAGAGAGCTGTTTAAGATTTAATTCCTACACTGTGTGTCTACACAGTCCTCGGTGCAGGCTGCCCTAGCTAGCACTGAGAACTCCCATGCCTTCTTACATTATCTGAAGCTAATTAGAGCTGGTGGGTTTTGCAGAAGTAATCAATAGCTTTCCACAGTGGATCACACAGAATCAGACCCTTATGCAATTAGCTGAATATAGATACTCAGAGATATCTTAATTAAAACAAAATACATCTCGTAACAGATCTGCACTCTAGGATGGCTGCCGTTTCAAATGCTTTGACACATTAAGTGTGTTTATTCAAAGTGAGATTCTTTCTGGAACTTTTCACTGATCAAAGACAGCTGGGTGTTGGATGCATTTACCTTGAAAGCATTCTTAGGTGAAAAAAATGTTGGTACTATTATACATCTGTGTTTATTAACATCTGGGTATAAATACATTTCAAACACGGAAAGAGCACAGAGAGTAAGCCTCTCTCTTGGATTTCATAGATTTCTCCTCCTCCTCCAGTGATCTGCTGAATCTTCCAAGACAGAAGCTCAGCCGGCAAAGAGACTGCCAGGGGATTCCCCTGCAGGTCCTCTGAAATATGGGGAGAAACCTCACGCTGCCAGCACGCTTGGAGGAAGAATCTACTCTTCTCGTCCAGTGGCAGAGAAACTCAGCTACTAGGATGTGATCACTGCAGACTCTGAATTTCGCCATCTCAATCAGACTTCAAAAGTGCATGTGAGGGTCTGAGTTCTGGAGGAAAGGAACACTGAGAGAACATGGCAGCTAACAAAGCCGCTGCCTTGTCACCACGGGGCTGCCCTGCTCTGCGTACCTGTGCCAACAAAGGCGCCTCCACAGCTGTCACACTGACCCCCTCAGCCCACCAACCTCCTTTCCTTTCTGCGTAGTCAGTCACAGTCTGTCAGAGGAGAACAGAACAAGATGGAAGTGGATTCCTGATGATCCCCAGAGCAAACTGCTCTCAGCAGCGGTCTAGAGGTCACAGTTGGAAATAAAGACAGTCCTCAGGAGAACAACCGCACATCTGGGCATGGATGGAAAGAGAGGGCAGCCCATCCCTTCAAAGCTGCCTCTGTCAGGAACCATGAGCGCCAAGGTATCAGGTCGTGTCAACTGACAAAGACACCATGACACGCAGTGCACCATGACAAGTGGCCCCTGGTTTCCCTGCACCTGCTTGCATTTCCAGACATGACAAAAGACAACCCAGACTGTGCTGTTTCCTCCTGCCTGTCCACAGCCACCAGAGGCAACGCTTTCTGCTAAGCACAGGGCTCTTCAGCATCCGCTTTTCAAGAACTGTCTTTATGAAGTTATTGTCAGCGCTAACACAACTTCTGAGAGAAAATCCAGGCTCCACATATTCTGTATTAAACCATCAGTAAAAAATATGAAGAGATCATTACTTTTAAAATATAGAAAGCCAGTAGCTGAAATCATTGAGTAGTAAAATTTCTTTTCTACATATAACCTCATAAGTGTAAAGAGTATTAGAATGATGCTTGCACTATATTTGACTCTTGTTAGCTTAAGGACTTCTCATTCAGGTAAGGCTTAGGAGAGTATCAACCAGTAATCAAGGTATTGTGAGGTTTCACAACCACTCTCTCTATTTTGACTAAAAGCCACTGGCTACCTTTGGATGTGACAGGTGTCCTTTGTTTGTATGACAGCACAGAACTGCTTACAATACACAGACAGTGCGGAAGATGCTAGCATGTACAGAAAGATGAAGATCGGTGCAAGTTGTTTTCCACAAAATCCACTCTGGATGCAAACTTTCACTTTATGGCTAAGAAGCTTGTCATCCACGTTATGCTGTAGGTTATGTCATTAGAAGTGGAAGCCACTACATGAGATATGGAAGAATCTTTAAAAACACTAACTCCTTTTCCATTTAGTAAAGGCCAGAGTTAAAACTATCAAAATCATCATCATGGTCATGATCATCTTCGTCATCAAAAACATGGCCCCAGTTCACTTTACAGTCAAGTCTACAAATTGTCCCCTTAGAATACAGCATGCCCCAAGCAAAGCTTGTTGAGTGTGGAATGTAGCACTGCCTCAGGCTTTCCACAGCCGCCCCCAAGGACCACAAGAAGCTCTCTTTAAAAAAAAAATTCCAGTTGGATGAAACCGTTTCTCCGCTGAGCTCTTAGAACTGGATTTTCAGATACACAAGAGGATAGGAAACAGATAACTTCGGTTTTTGTCTTTTTACACGTCCATTGTTTTTTTAATGCAGCTACGATGTTTCTGCCAAAGATAACGATAACAGGGCAGACAGGGCGGTGACCACCAGAACCAGCAGTGGGCTCAGCCCGCAGCTTGGAAGAGCAGCCATCGATTTCGTGGTTATGTGGCTGGAGGCACCAGCGAGCTCATCCTTTTCATAATTGCTCTGTAAGAAAAAGGTTTCGTTACCACCTGCTGCACGCATCTACTCCCTCACAGCGCATGGAATCACACGCTTCCTCTCCACAGCCCCAAAGCGGAGCCCTCACCAAAGTGCCACTGGCTGACGGTGGATTTCGCTGCTGAGCCACCAGTGTGCTGACCACTGGTAAGAAGGAACCTTGAACTTGGGAGAGAATGTACCGTGCAGATACTCTCCAGCCCAGTGCTTTCTGCTTGCTCCTCCATAATGGATTATTAAAACCCTTTTAGGGGGAAGTATTTTTCTACCCTTGCCCTTCTTCCCCTGCCACAGTCCCCCGTGTGCCACATGGGACCTCTCTCCCTCCTGGGTGCACTGGGCTAACGAGGGCATCTCAGGATCTCCCTACGTTGGCTGGAGGGCAGCAGAGCTGGGAAGGTACACCCCGCTCACAGTGCGCTCAGCAAGGCACCACAACCAGCGCCACAGCTACACAGACAGGCAGGAACCTACATTTTCGAGATGAGAAACCGCGAGGGTGAGCAGCTTGTGCAGCTCCTCTGAGGCACTGCCCAATCCAGAACCCAGGCTGCAGGGCTCCCCTACAGACGGACTCCTCATCTCGTCACCACGCCTGCTCAGTCTCACACGCCACATCCCTACCCAGTGGAGTAGGACTAGGACCCAAAGCAGAACTCCCCTCTGCTTACCTATACACAGAGGAGAACGATGCGCCTGCGCTACCTGCCTCTGTAGATGGCCGTGGAGCTCAGAGGAGCTGACAGAGGATGCGCAGTGAGAGCGTCACGCATCGTCTCTGCGCGGCACCGTTTGGCCCAGCTGTGTTCACAGCCTCCCAGCATCAGAACAGCAGCCACGGTGCTGGGGCGGTTGTCACAACATGATCCCAGGTACCAGACTAAGTACAACCCGGGGCCCTGAATCCAAACTCTGTACCTTGCCCCAAGGACAGCTGAACAGAGAAGGGTAGCTTAGATTTTTTTTTTCTGGACCTAATAGCTTATTGCCTTTGAACCCTATACATCATCTCTTGCCCCAGGTCTCTAAAATGAGGGCTACCCCAAAGAAATGTCACTTACTTCATAAAGACAAGTTGGTGTGTTGTCTGACACGTTGGATTTCAGCTTCTGTGCCTGGAGACAGAAAAGGGGGAAAGGATCAGAAATAACAGGAAGAGTAATTACTAATGATCCATTAATCAATGGTCCAGGGCAGTGCCATCTAATACACATGTGAGCCCAGCTGTAATTTACAATATTCTAGTGACCGCCCAACAGAGATAGCAGGTGAAGTAAATGTAATAATGTTCTATTTAACCCACTGTATTACCATTTCAACACATAATCAATATAAAAAAATTAACGAGAGACTTTGCATTCCTTTTTCACACTGCATCTGCAAGGTCTGGGGTGCTTGATGAGGTGCATTTGTTCAGACCTGCCTCATTTCCACGCTCAATGGCCACCCTAACCTTAACGACTGCTTTAGGGACGGCACAGAGAGCACCAGGTTCCCAAAGGAAGTTTGAAGTGGTCGGCCTGCCTGCCTGCCTGCCTGCCCGCCTCCCTCCCTCCGTCCTCACTTCCACGGTGGCAACTGAACTCAAGGAAACTACCACTAAACACACCCCTGACACTTATGTCCCTAAGCTAGCTCCCCAGTCCCCTTTTACTTTTTATTTTGAGACAGGATCCCACTGAACTGCTCAGGTGAGACTCACACTTGAGATCCTCCTGCTTCAGCATCCCTCAGTACAGGTGTTACAGGCATGTGCCTCCTTGCCTAGTTCACATCTGAGTGTTAATTTTGGGAAGTGCCTTCAAAACTTGAAAATGTTCCAATACAAATACCCATTTATTAATAAGACAGGCCAAGTCTTCCGGAAGCTCCTACTATTTTCTAGGGCTGGGCACAGGGCAATAGAGAGAAAGCACGTGACGCCGGAGCGAACCACTCCCTGGTGGGGGCCGAGGCACAGGGCAGGGACCCCTCCAGGGGGACCCTCACAGAAGCTTCCAGGGCACTGCAGATCCCAGCGCAGCTGTTTCCAGGCAGCCGAGAGGAGGCTGGGCTGTGGGGGCCTCAGGTCCCCCTTCCCCTCAACCAGACAACTTCCCACTGGGCTTCTGCCTGGTACCTGAGCGGAAGGAAAGGTGCCATTGCTCAGACAACAGCGACGAAACCCACCCACCCACCCCGTGCAAAGCAGGACGATGAGATGCCACAGAAGTTAAGAGCCTCAGCAGCGGAGGCTGCACAGTAATTTTTTTCCTAAAGTCAGGCGGCAACCAGCTCTCTTCAACTCTTGGGTAGAAAGATGCTTTCTCCTAGATTACTGTCTTTCTCCCAGTCCTACCCTCTTCCAATTACACAAACCTAGAACTCTAGCCATGATGCCCATCTCTGAACCTCAGCAGTAAAGAAAGTAAATAATGGCACCAAGAGACCAAAAGCTCCTTTGCTGGCAAGGCATGCGCTGCTTAAGCTCCGCACCTGAGTCGGGGGATCTGGTCACGTGGCCCTGGCGGGCACTGCTGGACTAACTCTCTGTAGCAAGACTTCGGCAACTCGCTTAACTCATGTGAGGCTGCAATGATAGCATTTTTACCCAAGGAGTAATTTATTGACCATAATGCCACTTGGAAAGCATCATAATCTTTGCCTATATTTGCATATGCCAGCTGTGAATATGAAGTAGAAACCTTTAAACAGGCTTCAAGAATAAGACACTACGAAGAATCCCAGGGATGCTCAAAGGTCACTAAATGTTATGTATAAGAATATCAGAGGGGAAATTGGGAGAGGAATTATACCTCATTCAGAAGCCTACTTTTAATCTACATTAATAACAAATCTGGTCCATTATATTATTCCTTAAGAACATGTGTAGAATTTAACATTTCTATTTCCATTCAACATTGGATTTGTGGGGGCTGGGAAGATGGCTCAGTGGAATAAGCGCTTCCCTGGCAAGCGCAAGGGCCTGAGTTCAATCCCTGGTTCCACCAAAAAAAAAAAAAAAAAGATTGGATTTGTGCCTGGAGACCAAAACAACCCTAAAATGTCTCATTCTGCTTTCTTTTTTAGACCATGTTCTACAAAACATGGAAGCCCTCATTAAGTGCCTTTGCATAGGTATTATGCTTACCAAACAGCACAGAGAAAACAGTGTGACCTCTAGACAGAGGCACATTGTCCCCTCCAGGCGTTCCTGGGCCCACAATCACGGTTAAGTGGCACCCCAGTGTCCTGGGCCACAGTGCCCTGGGAGAGAACACAGGTGGGCACATCTCCTCCCACTCCACAAGAGCTGCGCCAGTGGACCAATTTCTTCCTGGTGTACACAACCTGTAACTGTCACCAGATGTCACCTCAGGAACAAGCAGCAGCACTGGGGACAGTCGTCCTTGTGAGCTGATTGTGAAGGGGCTGCCAGCAGAAGACCAGAGACTCCTGGCTCGCTGCAGATGTCCTTATGCAGAGCCAGCCAGCACAGTCAGAGCTCGGTGGCCAATTAATCCCCAAGGACTTCCCACTGTGCACGGCATTCATGAGCCCTCATCGTGTGCCTGGGTCTAACCTGCTCCTCCATGCTCTCCCAGTGAGAGAGGGGTGCAACCAGCCACACAGGAAAATGCACCTGGACCAGCTGCTGTTCTGTGAAGGGGGCCCATGTTCCCCACAACAGCCAGCCCACTGACTCCAACAGTGAACATCCTGCTTGTCTCCTTGTAGTGTCACTGGCTTGACCACAGGGGGAGGCAGAAGGCCCCAGCTCACTTGGCCTGGAGCACATGCTGGCTGGCAGAGCAGCAGAACTGCCAAGGGCAGGTGACACTGCACAGCCAGGCCACAGTGAGGCCAAGGAAAACCTGCATCCTGTCCCACACCTCCTCCCCAGCCTCAACTCCTGCAGGACTGGAACTCCACATCCACATTCTACTTCCAGGGACCATTAAGGAGCTTCCTAAAGAGAGCTCTGGTGCCCAGGAAACCACCCTGACTGCGGAGGCAGGGTGAGCAGAGTGGCCCTGGGGGTACCACTTGAACGCAGAAGGGAACAGCATAAAGTTGGTGCATCTAAATAGAAGGTGAAAGGAAAACCAGAGAGGGGAGTGGCGGGTAGCATGAAAGTGAAAGAATCAAAGGACTGTATGTAGATGGGAAACCTTTAAAATACCTTACAAAACAAGAGGCAGGCCAGAGTGACCCTCCTGTGTGGACAGGAACAGTGCCCAGTACTTCTGGCTGTGCATGGGCTGCAGGTGAAGGGGCAGGTCTGGGCTTCGAGCTGTGTCTGACTGGCAGCATGCTTAGGAGTGTCATACACAGCACAAACCCCTGGTCACCAAGTGTTACAAACCTGGCTCTTCACATCCAGAGTCTACTTAAGATACCCTGAGTTTTAAAGCCTACTTTCAAAGCCCCACGACACCTGTTATTACCACATTTTAAAGGCTTTTACCCTGACTTATTCTGCAAACACCGTCAAGTCCTCACTGCCCTTGCTGGTTAGGTACTATAAATGCAAGCAGATAAAATTACAGGGCATTCTCCCTTCAACTACTGCAGAGAGTACTTACCTACTTGAAATGTCTTGTTCGCTGAAAATTAGGATGGTGTCAGGAAAATTAAAATTAAAAGAAACTTATAAAAAGGAAAAGAAAAGAAACTTACAAGACTTCCCAAAGAGCGAGGCAAGTTAGAAATTAGAAAAGCAGCTTTCATCACTGAGTTCTAAGGCAGGGAAACCCAGGGTGTATTAATGGATGTGTTGGCACGGGGCACAGGGTCCTTCTGTGAGCCCGGAGCCCCTGCCAATGGTGGGGCATCCTGGGGCCCACCTTAGAACCCAGCCAGCCATACCGATCTAGATAGACAGTGGTACAGTTTGTAGTTTTGTTTTTAAAATGTCTCTTTTGAAAAAAGATAAAGAATCTCTTTCATTTTTCTAAGAGTCAACTTGAACCACTGCTTTCCTATACTGAAAAGATGAACCATTTAGCCTCCTTTAGGAAGGAGTGTTTCTGAGCAGCTCATTTACAGTTACGTGGCTAGGAGGAAGATGCCTGGTTGCAATGGGGAGACCTCACCACTAAGACAAGGACCTCAAGGCCCGCATCCCGAGGACAGCGAAACGCAGTCATCTGGAGAGAGGGTACCCACAAGCCTTCCCCATGTTCTGCAAAACCAGAGAAATCTGTCCTCAGGGGTCTTATCCATCCAGTGGCTGTTGCTCTTCTGCTATAAAATTGTCACTGGTAATAATCCACAAGTCCGGGCACGTCACATAATAGAATTTCCAGGGCACTGTAATTGTGAGACCAGACCCCGCCAGTCCCTGGCACCAGAGGGTTAATAAATGCATTAGATGCTGTTAACCTCTGTTACCTGGAGTCAGAGAGGAGCCTCTCCTGCCTTCCACCCGAGTGATTAGCACGCGGAAAGCCAGCCGCGGTGCCAAGGCGCTCCTGTGCAGAACACCCAGGCGCACATGTAATTTATGGCCCGCAGTCAGGTCCCACCGGGTTCTGCCTACAGGGGGCGCTCCGGGTCCTCGGGGACGGTCAGCCTTGCGATCAGCAAGCATACTTACTCTGTTTATGGAACTGGAAAGTTAAAAGCACACCCGCCCAGAGCCTGGCCTTTGCTGCCCCAGGACTCCATTTCTGCAGCAAAGCCGGCGTTTAATCTCGGGGTCTTAGGCAGCTGTCAGCCAGCAGGGCATAGAACATTTTTCTGCTCTCCTCGATGCAAAAGAAAAGCTATTTTCTGCCCTACCTTCAGAAAATAAAATCAGAGGAAGCTGTACCATCCAATAGCAGCAGACTGTCCAGGCCAGAGCCAAATAGTCATAATTAATGGTGCTCTGGTTCTTTTCTCCCTTGCTTTACTGATTAGGGAGATTTGCTATATTAGGAACCTGTTCGCTTAATGACAGAATACAAGCAATAAACAGAGAAATACACAGACTGTAAAATGCAATCAACTTTGCTCTCCAGCACTCACTAAGTACCTCACCGCATCTATCACACTTGTCAATACTAGTTTATTAGCATATGAGTCTCTTCTACAGCGTACATTAGACTTTTTCTAGGGGAAATCTATGCATGAGTTCTTTTGGAAACAGTTT